ATAGTAGTAATAATAATAGCACTAAAAATTTGTAATAATAAAAGTATTAATAATAGTAATACTTTTTTTTTTACATTTTTGAGGGTCTGCGAATGCCAAACTTTACGCACTAATCCTGGGACTCTGCCTCCAGAGAGACCCTTCATCATTTGGCTCCCCCAAAATTCCCTGATGTGTCGGACTCACCGTCGGAATAGGCACGACCAACGAAACTAATATCCAACCTAGTGGTATAGTAGAACAATCCCCCCACCGCCATGTGGCATTTCTTCAGGATGATACCACGGCTTCTTGTTCCTTAACTGGACTCCCTCTTCAGCTTTACGTGGCATGAACCAGGAGCAACTTTGGTGGATCTTCTATGGGCCACCCATCTCATTCTTGTTAATAATAGTAATACTAATAGTAATACTAATAGTAATAATAATAGTAATAATAATTGTAACAATTATAATATTAATAATAATACTAATAGTAATAGTAATAATAATAGTAATAATGACAGTATTAATAATATTAATAATAATAGTAATAATGACAGATATGATAATAGAAATAATAATTGTAATAATAATAGTAATAGTAAAAATAAAAGTGATCATAATAGTAATAATAATAGTAATAATTATAGTAATAATAATAGTAATAATAATAGTAATAATAATAGTAATATTAATTGTAATAATAACTAGTATAAAAATATTTACAATAATATTAATGATAATAGTAATACTTGTAGTAGTAATAATTATAGCTATAATATTAATAATAGTAATAATAACAGTAATAATGATAATATTTATAATGATAATGGTTATTATAATATTAATAATAAATGTATAAATAATACTAATATTAATTATAATAATTATAAGAATAATAGTAGTAATAATAGTTGTAATAATAACTGTAAAATAATCATAATAAGAAGTGTAATAATAATTTTAATAATAATAGTAATAATAATAGTAATAATAATAGTATTAATAATTAAAATAATAATAGAAATAATAATTATAATAATAATATTAATAATAATAATAATAGCATTAATAGTTATAATAATAAGAATAATAATAGGAATAAAAATAGTAATAATAATAGTCATATTGACACTAATACTAATAGTAATAATAATAGTAATAATAATTGTGAATATAATCGTATAAATTATTGTAATAGTAATAGTAATAATAATAGTAATAATAATTGTAATAATAATTGTAATAATAATAGTTATAATAATTGTAATAATAGTAGCAATAATAATAGTTATAATAGCTATAATAATAGTATAAATAATAATTGTAATTATAATAATAATGGTAACAGCATTAGTAATAATAATAGTAGTATTACTAAAAGAGATAATAATAATAATAATAATAATAATAGTTTGAGTGATAGTAATAATAATAGTAATAGTAATAGTAATAATAGTAGCAATAATAATAGTAATTATAAATGTAATAATAAGTGTTATAATAATAGTAATAATAACAGTAATAATAAAGGCAATGATAACTGTAATAATTGTTGTTCTAAAATTTGTAATAATCGTAGTAATATTAATATTACTAATAATTATAAAAATCATAGTAATAATTATAGTTATAATAATAGTTATAATAATAGTAATAATAATAGTAATAATAACAGTAATAGTAATAGTAATAGGAATTGTAATAATAATAGTAATAAATATAGTAATAATTATAGTAATAATAATAGTAATAATAATTGTAATAATAATAGTAATAATAATAGTAATAGTAATCATATTAATTATAGTAATTATAGTATTAATAAATATTATAATAATAATAGTAATAATAATTGTAATAGTTACAGCTATAATATTAGTAGTTATAATAGTAACATTAATAACAATAATAAAATTAATAAGAAATGTAGTACTAATAGTACAAATAATATTAATAATACTAATAATAATAATAATAATAATAATAATAATAATAATAATATTAGTAATTATAGTAGAAAATGTAATAATAATAGTTACAATAACAGTTATAATAGTAGTAATAACAATAGTAATAATATTAATAATAATAATAATTATAATTATAATAGTAGTATAAGGTATATTATTAATAATTGTAGTAATAATAGTAGTAATAATTGTTATAATAATAATCATAGTAATAATAATAGTAGTACTAGTAGTAGTAATAAAAATAATTATAATAATGATAGTGAAAATAATAGTAATAATATGAGCTATAATAATAGTAGTAAAAACAGTAATACAAATAGCAATAATAATAGTAATAATAATGGTAGTTATGGTAGAAGGAATAATATTAATAATAATAATAATAATAATAATAGTAATTATAATAATAATGCAAATAATAATAATATTAATAATAACAGTAAGAATAATAATAATAAAAATAGTTTGAATAATTGAAATAATATTAGTAATTTAATAGCAATAATTCTAGTAATAATAAATGTAATCATTATAGTATTAATAATGGCAGTAATAATGGTAATAATAATAGTAGTAATGATAGTAATAATAACAGTAATAATAATTGTAATAATAATATTATTCATAATAATAATAATAAAAGTAATAATAATTGTAATAATATGAGTAATAATAACTGTAATGTAAGTAGATTAATAATAGTAATGATAACAGAAATAATAATAGTAATAATAATAGTAATAATATCAGTAATAATAATTGAAATAGTAATAGTAATAATGACGGGAATAATAATAGTAATAATAATTGTATTAATAACAGTAATAATAATTGTAATAGTATTGGTAATAGTATAGAAATAATTTGTAGAAATAATAATAGTAATCATTATAGTAAAAATAATAATATTCATAAAAGAAATCATAATTGTATTAATAATAGTAATAATAATAGATATAATAATAGAAAAATTAATAGTAATAATAACTGTAATAATAATATAAATAAAAATAGTTGCAATAATAATAATAATAATTGATATAATAATAGTATTATCAATAGTAATAATAAATATAATAATAATAGTAATTTTATTTGTAATAATAATTGTAATAATAATAACAATAATAATAATAATATTTGTAGTAATAATATTTGTAATAATAGTAATAATAATATTAATTATAATAGTAATAGTAATAGTAATAATTATAGAAATTGTAATGGTAAAAACAATAGTAATAATAATAGTATTAATAATACTAATAGTAATAGTAATAATGATAGTAATAACATTAGTTTTAATAGTAGTAATCAATTTAGTAATAATAATAATAATAATAATGATAGAAATGATAATAGAAATAATAATAATAATATTATTCGTATTAATAATAGTAATAATAATAGTAATAATAATAGTTATACTAATAGTAATAATAATTGTAATTATAATAGTAATATTTATAGTAATAGTAATAATAGTAGAAATGATAATAGTAATAATAATGGTAATAATAATAGTAATAGTGATAGAAACAATATTAGTAATTAAAGTAGTAATAATAATAGATATAATAATAAAAAAATTAATAGTAATAATAATTGTAATAATTATATTAATAATATTAGTAACAATAATAGTAGTAATAGTTGTAATAATAATATTTGCAATAATAGTAATAATTATTGTAATAATAATATTAATAATAATAGTAATAATAATAGAATAGTAATAATAATAGTAATAATAATAGAATAGTAATAATAATATTAATAATAATAGTAATAGTAATAGTAATAGTAATACTAATTGTAATAATAATAGTAATAATAGTAGTAATAATAATAGTAATAATAATACTAATATTAATTGTAATAATAATAGTAATAGTAGTAGTAATAATAATAGTAATAATAATACTAATATTAATTGTAATAATACTAGTAATAATAATAGTTAAAATAATGGTAATAATATTAGTAATAATAATAGTAATATTAATATTACTATTAATAATAATACTAATTATAATAGTATTAATAATAGAAAAAATAATAGTATTAATAATAATAATAATAATATTAATAATAATAGTAGTAATAATAGTAATAATAACAGAAATAATAATAGTAATAAATTTATTAATAATAATATCAATAATAATTGTAAAAATAATAGTAATAATAGTAGAAATAATAATTGTAATAATAACAGTAATAATAATTGTAATAGTTATAGTAATAATAATAGTAAGAGTGATATTATTATTAATAATAATAATAATAGTAATAATATTAGTAGTAATAATAGTAATTATAACAGAAATGATAATAATAGTTATTATAGTAATAATAATAGTAATAGTAATAGTAATGAAAATAGTAATAATAATTGAAATACTAATAGTAAAAATAATAGTAATAATAATAGTAATTATAATAGTACTAATAGTAGTAATAATACTAGTAACAATAATAGTTATAATAATTGTAATAGTAATCGTAGTTATAATAGTTTTAATAATTGTAATAATAATATTAATAATAATATTGAATATAAGTATAAAAATAATAGTAATAATAATAGTAATAATAATAGTAATAATAATGGTGATAATAATAGTAAAAATAATAGTAATAATAATAACAACAATGATTGTAATAATGATAGTAATAGTAATAATAATAGTAATACTAATAATAATAGTCATAGAAATAAAAAAAATAATAAAAATAGTAATAATAATACTAATAAAAATAGGAATAATAATTGTAAAACTAATAGTGAAAATAATAGTGATAATGGTAGTAATTATAATAGTACTAATAATAGTAATAATAATAGTTATAACAATAGCAACAATAAATGTAATAATAATTGTGATAATAATAGTAATAGTAATAGTAATAATAATAATAATAACAATAGTAATAATGATAGTAATACTATTAGTAATAACTATAGTAAAAATAATAGTATTAATATTAATAATAATAAGTTTTTCTCCTTTTTTTTTTGATGGTCTGAGAATGCCAAACTTTACGCTCTACCCCAGAGACCCTGCCCGCCAGTGGGACCCTTCCCCATATGGGTCACCATACAAGTCCCTGAAGTGTCGGTCTCACCGTTGGAATAGGCACTACGGACTAAACTCATATCCATCCTAGTGGCATAGTAAAACAAACCCGGCACCACCTTGTGGTATTACTTCAGGATGGCGCCACTGCTTCTTGTCCCTTAACTAGACTCCCTCTTCGGCCCTACGTGGCAAGAACCAGGAGCGACGTTAGTGGCTGTTCTATGGGCCACCCATCTCCTTCTTCTTCTTGCTTAAGATTGACCTGACTTACCAGGCCACCTTGTTCCACTCCTTCTGCCCACGGAGCATTTTCTCGACGACGTTGTCCGGCGAGAGGTCTCCGAGGTCTTGTTCCAAGGCTAGACGTTCGGCGCTCTATCGAGTACATAAAAAAAACGTGTGGTGGGCGTCGTCGTTGATCGAGTCCCCATTGGGGCAGTTGGCGTCTGCTACCTTCCTCATTCTAGCCATGTAGGAGCGGAACAGGCCATGCCCTATCAGGAATTGGGTGAGGTAGAAATCGACTTCTCCACTCTCCCGATTTATCCAGTTGTCTAGCTGACTGTTGAGTAGGTCAGTCCATCTGCCCCTACGTTCCTGCTCCCATCTACTTTGCCAGCACTTGATGCTGATAGACCTGGCAAGCCTTGATGCCTTCTCCATTCCCAGGACACACCTTTGCTGGTGGACGAATTTCCTCTCCTGGGATAATAGATCGATCGGGAATACCCCGGCGACAACTAGCACTGCCGACTCTGAGACCATTCGGTAGGAGCACGCAATACGGAGGTTGCCCCTCTTCTGTACCGCGGTTATGCGCTTACGGTATTCCTCTTTTTGCAGCGGCTCGGCACATACTTTCGCACCGTACAGCATCACTGCTTCAGCGGCATGCATCAGCAGTCTCCTCATGCACGGCCGGGGACCTTTGATTTTAGCCATGAGTATGCCCATTGAGGCTACTACTTTTGCCGCCGTGTCGGCTGCCATGATAATGTGCTCTCCATAGTTAAGCTTGTTGTCAAGCATAAACCCGAGATATTTGTCAGCCATCTTAGTTTGTACCGCCGCTTGCCCTTCAGGGAAGCGGCGCAAGGTGTTGATGCGCTTCCTCGTAAGTATCACGATCTGTGTCTTCTGGGCTGCTAGAGATAGCCCGTGGTCTTCCATCCAGGAGGTAACTCTCCGCATGACCTGGTTGAGCAGCAACTGTGCCCCCTCCGTGTCTCTTGCGGTTATGACAACTGCAAAGTCATCTGCGTACCCAACCAAGAAAGTACTTTCTGGAACTGTCATACGAAAGATACCGACGTAGAATATATTCCATATATCCGGTCGCAGTATGGAGCCCTGGGCTGCCCCGATGTCAATTCCAAGCTTCTTGGACCATCACTCGTGTCGTATACTAAGAAGCGCTCGTTTAGATAATCGTCAATTATTCGGTGGAGGTACTTGGGAACGCCGAAATTACGTTCGAGCGTTTCCTTTGCCAGGTCCCCCCTGACGGAGTTGAAGGCATTTTTCACGTCTAATGTGGCAAGCAGGCACAGAGGTCGAGTTCGATGATTGCCTCGCCCCGTCATTTTAGCGGCCGTGACCACTTCCTGGACTTCGTGGATGGTGGAGAGGCCGGATCGGAATCCGTACTGGCGGCCGGCAAGATCTCGTGCTGCCTTCATGGCTGCGTGCAGCATTGGCCTTAGCAGATTCTCCAGCAGTTTTCCAGCCGATTCGAGCATACAAATAGGCCTGTATGATGAAACTGCCCCTACTGGACCCTTGCCCTTGCTAATGAGCACAAGCCTCGCTTTCATCTATGGAGCGGAGAAGATACCCCCCCTGAGGCACGTGTTATACGTGTTCAACAATAGCTCAGGGTGACTTTGCGCGACGTCTTTAATTATTTCTGCTGAAAGTCCGTCTGGACGTGGAGCTTTCTTGTTCCGCATGGTTGATGCGGTTTTGAGTAGCTCCTCCTCTGTAAATTGCGGCCCTTCAGGGCTACCAGGCGCCGCCTTGCGAGCCTCTCTCTTTGGATGTGAGGGGAATATGGTATGAATGATGGTTTCCAACGTCCTCGCGTCCTGTGGGTTTCTTTGCGTGTTAGTCCCCAGTTTGCGAGTGACGATGAGGTACCCTAATCCCCACGGATTCTGGTCGACATCCAGGCACAGCTCCTTGCAGCACCGTCGTTGACTGCCCTTGATGGTTCTCTTCAAAGCTTTTTTGACCGCCTAATACTCTGCAGCCAAGGAAGCAGCGTCAAGGTCGAGTTTTCCCGCTCGTTTTGCCAAACGGCGAAGTCTTGAGAACTTCTTGCGAAGATCTGCGATCTCGTTTGTCCACCAGTATGCAGGACGCTTGTGCCGTTTCGTGTACTTCTTGGGCACCGCTATGGCTAAAGCCTTTTGGATGAGCTGCATAGTTGCCGCAGTAATCATCCTGGTTTGTGCAATTGTCGATAGACTCGCGGAAGCAATTTGAAGGGGTCTCCAACCTTCATCTATGACTGAAGACAGCCTCTCTCGATCCATTCTTGCAATGTTCCACCGGGGGGGTCGCTTTACACTTGTCACAGCTTGCCTCGTATCGTGTACATCGAATTGGTTGTACTGATGTTCATGCAATGTTCCCGGTACAATCCTCGATCACCTGCCAGCCTGCGACTCTTGCCACAAGGTGTTCGTTGGCTAGAGATTCGTCCGGGATCGTCTTCCTATAGCCAGGCCTGCGGAAGGTTGACGTCGAACCTCTGTTGAATACTGTTAGCTCCAGTCTCGACGTCACCTCCATGATTCGTTTTCCCGTGGAGTCCGGCCTGGCCTCCCCCCATTCGAGAGCTTTGGCATTGAGGTCTCGAGCCACAATGAGATCCCCTTGCATTTCCCGCTGCGTGTCTTCCAGATCGTCCAGTTTGGTCTGGATGTCGTCTATCCGATCGTTCGGGGTGAGATATACGTTGATATATGTCGTCAAGTTATGTCTCACCCAAACGTAACCGCGTCCGGATCCTTGATCCGACACATTTATCTGTCGGGGATCTGTGATCCTAATGGCCGCGGAGCCCAATTCGTGTGCGTTCCATCCTACTCCTGCTCTGTCCTGGTACTGTTCGTTGATTAGAACAATATCAGCTTTTTTCTCAGAGCAGAGCTGGGTCAGTAGGTGGTGCTCCGTCCTGCTCCTATTGAGGTTATCCTGTACTCTCTTCCTTTTTTCCTCTTGGTGGCTGTTGCAGGGGCCCCCTGGAAAGGGCCTCCTGTTGCAGGCCCTTGATCCCGCCAGGTGCTTCCTAGTTTCAACAGCGCTATTGGAGCACAAGAAGCATGTAGGCTCGCTCTCCTTGCAGTCTTTTATCTTGTACCCCGTGCCGCCGCAGAAATAGCAAAACTTACTGCGATCAGGTCCCTTGCTCGAGGGGCTTTAGTGACTATAATCGAGACAGCGGTAGCATCGCCTCACTTCTGCCCTTCGCCTGACTCTGCAGCTGACGAAACCGACCAGCACTCGGCCAGCCTTTAAAAGCTTCGCAGCTGCTTCCTCTTCTATATTGACTAGGACCAGGCATTTTTGTCTCGCGTTGGGCTTCTTTATTTTTATTTCGATTTTGCTCGCGTAGTCTTGCAGGGCCCTCTTTAGGGCCTCCTCGACTTCTATCAACGACGTGCAGCAATCAATGTCGCGTATCTCCAGCTTAGCTCTAGGGACCAGTACCGTGATGCTGCTCGTTACTCCTACTTCTTTTCTCAGGATTTCTGCGAATGAGGCCCTGATATTCGCAGTGGTCTTCTTTAGTTCGTGGAGAACCCCTCCGATTCTGATCTGCCGGACCGATCTAACGTTTACCCCTGCTGCGCTGGTCTTGATGCGCTGGTGGATGGATCCGACCACGTCTGCGTAAGATTTACCTTGCAAAGGTTTCAGGAGGATCGCGTCCAGCTTCTACCTCTTTCTCGGCCTGTCCTCCGATTTGCTCGACTTCTTCTTCTTCTGAGGTAGGTGTTTCGTCGCCTTTTTCGCTGGTTTCTCCTTATTTCTTTTCTTCTTGACGACCTCCGTCCACTTGGCGGTTTCGGTCGTCGTCTCCTCTTGTCTCGGTCTTTTGAGGCTTTCTTGGTGTAACTGCGACCGGCTTGTGTCTACTCTCTTAACCACGCCAGCATTTTTTATAGAGTTTGCCCTAGGGCTCTGAGAAAATCTGACGAGTGTCATCGCTCCCTTATTGTCCTTTTTTCGAGATTTATACATGATCTGGAGACTGTCAATGATGTCCTCAAGTTCTTGGAGCCCTTTCTTAATAGCATTGTTCACGTTTGGCTCTGTATTAATAGCCGACTTCATTTTGGCAAGGAGGAATTTCGCCTGCGCCTGTTTCTCATTCTCTCCATCTTGTGTTGTCCCCTTCGCAGGACGGATAGCCTACTTTTATTTCCAACAGCCGCATTGGTTTGCGATGTACTCGCATATCTTGCCCTCGTCAACTTGTAATATTTCCACGTCCGACAATCTCAATGCTACGAGGTACACTCTCATAACTTTCCCTCGAAAGTCGGAGTGCTTTCAAGACCTTCAATCACATTATTTCACAATTCATTCGTATAACTTTTCCTCCTCTAGTCTGAATATTTCAATGTCCGATTCTCTCATTGGTTTACAAGGATTTCATATAATTTTCTCTCGACTAGTCGGCATGTTTCTAGGTCCTACAGTCGCATTGGTACAAAAGGCACACACATAACATTCCCTCGGCTGGTTGGAATACATCTAGGTCTGTCAGATGCATTTGTGTGATGCACTCGAATAACTTTCCCTCGACTAGACGGAATGATTAGATATCCTACAGTGGTATTGTTTCAAGAGGCTTTCGCATATCTTTCCCTCCAAGTCCGTTAGTCGAAATAATTTGAGAGAACTCCCACAAATTTCCTTCGACTAATTGGAAAATTCCGAGTACGACAGCCGCATTGATTCGAGAAGCAATCGCACAAATTTCCCTTGACTACTTGGAATATATCCATATCTGAAAGACAAACTTGGTTCGAATGGTTCGCGCACAAAATTCCCTTGATTAGACGGAATGTTTCCAATTCCGACAGTCGTAATGTTTCTAGAGATTCTCGCATAACTTTCCCTCGTCAGGCCGAAATATTTCCAATGGCGAAAGTCGCATTATTTCTAGCGAGTATCACATAATTGTGTATCACATAATACGCCTTGACTAGACGTATTATTTCTAGAAACGATTTTCGCATTCGAGAGATCCTTTCATTATTTTCTCTAAATTAGTAGGGACATTTCTAAGTGCAATAGTCGCGTTGGTCCGAGATGTACTCGCATATCCTCCTCTAATCTAGTCTATATATTTCAAATTTTGACTGTCGTGCTGGTTCCAGAAGCACTCGTATAAATTTTCCTGCATTAGTTGGAATATTTCCATATCTAAAAGACGTACTGGTTCGACAGGAACTCCCACAAAGTTCCCTCGAGTGGACAGAATATTTCCAGGTCCGACAGTTGCGTCTTATAGAGAAGCTCTTGCACAACTTTCCCTCGACTAGTGTTAATATTTCCTGTTCCGACTATCTGCTAGGTCGGATAGGCACACGCTCAACTCTTCCTGGATTATCCGGAAAAATTCGAAGTCCAGCAGACGCAGTAATTCTAAAGTTAAGTGAACAACATTCCCTCGACTAGTAAGAATATTTCCAAATAAGAAAGTCTAAGAGGATCAATCACAACATTCTTACGATTAGTATGAATATTGCCAGGATTGACCGTCACATTGATTCGTGAGGTATTCGCAAAACTTTCCCTCGACTAGTTGGAATATGTCCAATTGCGACAGACGCATTGTTGCATGATGCAATTGCACAACGTTCCCTCGACTAATCGGAGTATTTTCAGGTACGACCACCGTATTGTTTTGAGATGCGCTCGCAAATCTGTCCTCCGATTAGTTGAAATATTAGCAATTCCGACAGCAGCAATGGTTCGAGAAGCAGTCGCATTTCCTACGACTAATCGAGTTATTTCCTAGTCCGACAGTCGCATTGGGTCGGGAGTCACTCGGATAACTTTCACTCGATTAATGTGAATATTTCTATGTCCAACAGTCGCAATGGGTCGGGGGGAACTCTCAGGATTTTCAATCGAATAGTCAGAATTTTTCCAAGTCCCACAAACGCCTTATTTCGACTGGCACTCGCATAAAATTGTTCTAACTAGACGGATTATTTCCAAGTGCGACAGTCGCATTGGGTCGAGTGTCATTCGCATGCCATTCGCTGGAATAGTAAATATATTTCGAAGTCCATCAGTAGCAATGGGTCGGGAGTCATTCGCATAATAAACAAGTCGGATAATTATCAAATCCGACAGTCGCATAGAATCAACAGGCACACGTATATCATTTCCCCTACTAATCGTAATATTTCCAAGCACGTCATACGCATAGGCTCACAAGTCACTCGAATTACTGTTCCTCGAATAGTCAGAATGTTTCCATTTCCGATAATCGCATTGTTTCGAGAGGCACTAGTATAACTATCTTTCGGTTAGGCGGGATATTTCTAAGTCCAGCAGCCGCTTAAGTTCGCGTGATATTAGCATAAGTTTCCCGCGACTAGTCGGAACATTTCCAAGTACGACAGCCTCATTGATTCGCGGGTCACTCGCATAACTTTCACTCTACTATTTGAAATATTTCCATGTTCGTCATATGTTTGGGAGACTATCGCATACCTTTCGCCCGACTAGTCGGAAATTTTCAAGACTCACAGTCGCATTGGTTCACTAATCGCTCTTATAACTTTTC